CTAATGGCATTTTATTTTTCCATTTGCCACTTTTGCAACTGTATTCTCTGCATCTGCAGTGCCTATCATCTTGTATAAGTCCCAAAAGTATAATTAATTAGAATTAATTAGATGAATCCTCTCTAATTCAACTTATATTTGCAGAAGGTATTTTGTTTAGTTTGGTTTTATTTTGCTTTGTTTTTGTCAGAGTTGAGCCAAATCTCAAGAATAGGTGGCAAAACTCCAAAGCCAAAAAATAGCTGAAAGATAAAATTAAATTTAAAACAAAAATGTGCTGTGATGCTTCAAACACAGTTTTGCTAACAGCTCCCACTCCGATTTCATTATCTTTTACCTTAATTATCCAAGGAGCTATGGAATCTATTAAAGTTCGACAAATTTCTCATTTGCCACAGTGTCCAATTTGATCTAATTCCTAGACAGACATGAAAATCATTTTGTTCTAAGGAATATTTAATAAGCATATGCTTAAAATGGAAATAAAGTAACATTTCCCAAATGATATTCTTCAGTATTCTGATAAGAGAAAACAGTCCTTTCATTTGAACTGGTCGTGAGTATCTTGGTTTGGTCAGAAAATGAGGTGCACCAGTGGACCCCCTGACCAGCACCTGAATCACCAGCTTATACCTTTGTCTTTTCCCAAAGAGATGAAGCTTCCAGATCAGGAATGAGTTACTTGGATTCAGTGGCCTATTTAAAAGAGTGGCCTGTGAAATTTTATTTTGAATCTATCAAGAGTTGAATCTACATGGGACCCATCTCCTTAAAGCCCAGACAAATCCTAAACTGAAACTGAGCTGAAGAAAGTGCTAGAAAACAACTCCATAGCCACAGAGAAAGAGAAGGAAGGTACAAAGGGGAAAAAAAAAGGGAGGGAGGTGGAAGGAAGGAGAAAAAAAATCTACCTTCTCTCTCTTTGAACTTTATCTCTGAGGATTCATATTGGAAAAAGAAAGAAATTCCTGTTGACTCTCTGGGACTTAAATATCCTAGGTATTCAGGTAGTTGATATGCATAGAATGGATTTGAATTCTGGTTTTAATTATGGGGGCAGCACTGAACTATGAAAAGAAAACTATAATAATGTGATAAAATTTTTGTTATCAATTTTGGAAGGAAATACCTTAAGCTGTATTCTCACAGAACAGATGTTGAGACAAGAATTGGGGCAAGTAGGTGAGTTGGGAGGCCATCCCAAGAAGCAGAGGGGATCCCAGGCAGGGAGGATTGACCTCCAACACAAGGTGCCTGGGTGTAGAGGTAACACTGTGGACAGCCAGGATGGGTCCACCAGGACTACCTAGAAGCAGACACCCAGGTGTCTACTCACCAGCTCCCATCCCTCCCTCACTGCAATGAAAACAAGCAAATCAGACAGAGCCTCCAGGCTGAGCGCTGTTGGAAGCCATTATTGTGTTGGCAACTGCTGGGGATTTTCAGGGTGGGTCAGGGGATCTGGGCATGACAGCATCTGCCTGACAAGTAACTTGGTTATTGCTTCTGAACCCAAAATTCTCAAATTTTGGCCCTGTTTTTCTGCTGGAATCCTCTATGTTAAGTACAGTGTTGGATGCACAGAATTTCTTAGTAACATTGATAATGTGTTAAAGTGGAACTAATCCTGACCTGTGCCTGGTGGTCTTTAATAACCATGATTTCCTTTCCCCACTTCATGTCTGGGCCTTTTGCAAATTTATGCTGAAATCAGGGTCTTCTGGGAGGACAGGAGCCTCCGCCCATTCCTCCTTTCTGCCCCCCCCATCCACCCACAACTCTTCTTAGGGGTAGACTATGGCACACGCAGCATCACTGGATTTTGTAAATTCTTCCAAATAAATGAGAGGGTATGGTGCCTGTTTTCTGAGGGTTTAGACCTCTGGAGAGAAAGGAGACTGAGGGAGAGAGGGGAAAGAGTCTGGACTTTAAAGGGGACTAGGAGTCTTCATGAAGGCTAGGGTTTGGGAAGACCAGGGAGATATTTCTATGGCTGTGTTAGACCACACTAACCCTTCAGAAGTTAGAAATTAATGACAATATCATGCTAATAACCTGGTTTTCACTGAGATGCCTGCTATTCCAGGTCTTTGGGCATGGGAGGGCATGTGGGATCCTCGTCCGCATGCTTTTTCTTCCTGGGATTTCTGGATAGAATGGCTTCCTGGGGGATTTCTTTGATATTCCCTCTCAGTAGCACCCAGGGCCTTCTGTGTCCCGTGAAAGACTTGACTCAGATCTCTAACTCAGGATCCCTACTTTAGGCACTTCAGGTCTAAAGAAGAAAGTTCAGGATGGCTCACCTGAGCCTCCACAACACCCTAGCCCTAAAATAGCTGAGGGGTCCCCCAGAGTGGCCATGTGCTGGTTAATAGGCCAGGCTTGAGTGACCTGTGAGTGAGTGGGTGACTGGCCCACATTCCTCTGTGCTAGGCTGAGGCTTCAAACCTAGTTTCAGGGAGCTGCTGGGAATCCCCTGCCCATCTCTGACCTGGGCTGTTTTTTCTTCCACTGGCTGTTCAATGCCTCCCTCCATCCCCAATGGCCTACTCTTATTCTTTAGTGAGGATCTTATGGGTCCACCACAAGAAATAGAAAGCCCTCTCTTTCTCTTCCTCCCTCCAAGGCTCCATGGACTACCTCTCACCTGTGGACTTACCATAAAGATGCCAAACATCAGACCCTTACATTCTCCCTGGAGTCCCCAAGTACTCGGAATGTTAGCTGCCACCATCACATTCACCAGTGTACCCTTTACTGGAACCAGACACCTTTCCACTCCCAGTACAATGGTGCTTCCTCTTCTCTCCAGCTCACAGAGCATGTAGTGGTGGAACAAGAGCCCTTAGCTCCCTGGATCTCGTTGAAGACTCTACAGGTGCAGTGAGATTCTGACCAGCCTTAGTCTAGGTTATGGTCTGGATATGAGGTTTCCCAGAAAAACTCATATGTGAGATAATACAGGATTGTAGGTGAGATGAATAGATTATGAGAGCTGTATCTTAATCATCAAATGGATTAACCCATTTGATGGATTAATAATTTGACTGAATTAATGACTGTGAAATTAATAACTATGGAAGGGCAAGGTGTGACTAGAGGAACCAAGTCACTGGGGGCATGTATTTGGCTAGCAGACTACCCTCTCCCTCTCCCTCTTCTTCTTCCTGTCATGAACTAAGTAACTTTCCTCCACCATACACTTCCACCATGATGTTCTGCCTCAGCCTGGGCCCAGAGTTGAGTTAGCCAACCATAGATAATAGGCTCTGAAACCATGAACCAAAATAAATTTTACCTTCTCTAAGTTTGTTCTTGTCAGATATATTGTCACAGCAACACAAAACTGACTAAAACACTCTATAATAACCAGGAGTCCTTTAGTTCCCACAAGACTCAATCTCCTAGCAGAAAGGAAGAGACACATTGGTATGTTCCCTAGCACGCAGTGTCTTGCACACATACATCCAAAATACATATTTCTTAATAATGCATGAATAAAGAAATTAATTTGATTTAGTAGCTGTTAATAACAAATAACCTTTAACCAGCCTCATTAATTAGTTACTGTGTGTTCTATCTTTAGATCTTTCTCTAAAATGATACTTTCCTTAAATGTGTCTGAGAAATCATAGTGTCTTATGAATTTTATTTCACTTATAAAAGATATAAATAAGTGGACATTAGGATTCTTTAAGATAAAAATGGCACAAGCTCAGTAAAAATTTAGGGGAAAAATGTATTGGCTCTCCTAATGGCAAGTCCACAGGTTGAAAAATAAGGCTCATTGGGATGCCCCCGTCCCTACAAACTGATCCCTCCCAAAGATACCTGCGGGAGGGAGACTATTATTAGATTGGCAGTGTTAGTCACATGCCCTGAGGTGGAGAGGGCAGACTCCTTGGTTGATCACCCCCATATGGAGTCAGGAGAAGGACAACAAAGCATAAATGTCCACCCCTGGTGAAAACCTGATGCAGGGAGTATGTATGTGTATGTTTGTGTGTCCTTGACAGGCTCCATGTTTATTTGATAGCAAAATAATTATATCTTTCAAATCATTTTGATGTGTTTCTAAAGGGGAAAAAAAGATTCAAAGGTTTTTGAAAGGACCAATGTCCAAAGTGATGTCAGCAAAATAACACATGGATGGGCAATAAGAGTCTTCCTAATTGCAAAGAAGACTGATGAGTCCCCCATCTTTTAACACTCAGCCTAGCCAGCTGCTAAAATGGAGAGGGTGGTCTGTCACTCCACAAGCAACAGAGAGCTGAAGAAAACCAGAGATAATTTTGGCATCACTGGAATAAATTTCCAGACATTAATCACCTCCAACTTCAGCACACATCCACACAGCATCCTTATCTCAGGAAAATCTTCACACAAGCTCTCTCTCTTTAGGGACACAGTCAACCAGAAAAATCAGCCTTGCAACAATAAGTGTTGGCGAGGATGTGGGGAAAAGGGTACTCTTGTACACTGCTGGTGGGACTGCAAATTGGTAAGGCCAATCTGGAAAGCAGTATGGAGATACCTGGGAAAGCTGGGAATGGATCCACCATTTGACCCAGCTATCGCCCTTCTCGGACTATTCCCTGAGGATCTTAAAAGAGCGTACTATAGGGATACTGCCACATCAATGATCATAGCGGCACAATTCACAATAGCTAGACCGTGGAACCAACCTAGATGCCCTTCAATAGATGAATGGATAAAAAAAATGTGGCATCTATACACAATGGAGTACTACGCAGCAATAAAAAATGACAAAATCATAGAATTTGCAGGGAAATGGATGGCATTAGAGCAGATTATGCTAAGCGAAGCTAGCCAATCCTTAAAAAACAAATGCCAAATGTCTTCTTTGATATAAAGAGAGCTACTAAGAACAGAACAGGGAGGAAGAGCATGAGGAAAAGATTAACATTAAACAAAGACGAGTGGGGGGAGAGAAAGGGAGAGAGAAGGGAAAGCATATGGAAATGGTAGGAGACCCTCAATGTTACACAAAATTACATAGAAGAGGATGTGAGGGGAAATGGCGGGGGAAACAAGGGAGAGAATTGAACAACAGCAGATGAGGTAGAGAGGGATGATGGGAGGGGAGGGGAGGGGGGATAGTAGAGGAAAGGAAAGGTAGCAGAATACAACAGTCACTAATATGCCATTATGTAAAAATGTGAGTGTGTAACTGATGTGATTCTGCAATTTGTATTTGGGGTAAAAATGGGAATTCATAACCCAATTGAGTCAAATGTATGAAAGATGATATATCATGAGCTTTGTAATGTTTTGAACAACCAAGAAAAAAAAAGAATAAGATCCCACTATAATTAGAAATTTTAATTAGAATTAGGTCCCATTCACACTAGTCTTCAAAAAATTACTGAATGAGAATTTCAGTTATACTCAGTGATCTAATTTATGTTTATAAAAATGTATGTTTCTGTGTGTTTACAATTATGTATGGAAATGAACAGAAAATATTCTGGAAGTCTGAGACAGGTGCTTTTGCAGGAGAGGGGGAAAGGATGGAAGGAGGATGAAGGAGGGCTTGTCTGTGTCCTTTGAATTTCTTTCAGTGACAAGGTCCTAATGCAGTACTTATATAAAACAAAACTTGACAAAACAGCAAATATATCCCACTTGGTCCAATTACAGATATTACTTGTGTATGTATAGAAAATGTCTCAAAAGATGATCACACAACTTTAATAGCATTTATGTATAGAGGGATTTCAGATGATTTTCACTGTCATTCTTTTTTTAGTGTTGTTCAATGTTTTCTAGTGAACATATTTTTGAGCATTGTTATTTTTATAATAAAAAAGTAAAAATACATCCTTATTTTGAACAGAAACAGAAAAAAAAAAAGAAAAATCAGCCTTGGCCATTACTAAAGGTCTAATAGTAAATAAAGTCTATCTAGCACTTTGTATCAGAAATCAGGGATTTATTTTACCAACTAGATTCAATGGCTTGAGTATGTCTCCTGAGAGGCTGTTTGGTTTAGGAAATTGAGAAGAAAACCAGAGAGAGAACAAGAAGTAGAGAAACACAGGAAATACATTGCTAGGTATTACTGAACCTTGTGACTACTCCAATGACTGTCTCTAGATACAGCTTTTATTAGTAAATGAATAGTTTCTCCTGCCCCATTCGCACAGAATAAATACCAAGCAACATTTATAAAGAATATCATATTAAAGGGGCACAAAGTTATTACCATTCTCCAACCACCAGGACCCCATGTATCTCAATCCTTCCATTGGAACAGTGGTTTTTCTACCAAGAGGACAATGTTAAGGGGGCAACAATGATGCTATGGTTTGAGTGTATCCCCCAGGCTTTATTCCTCGATACAGCTGTGTTGGGAGGTGGGGCTTAGTGGAAGGTGTTCGGATCATGGATTGGAGCCCTTGTCGATGGTTTTCTCTCGGGACTGGATTGGTTACCTGGAGAGTGGATAGTTACTCTCTCAGGCTCCTTTTCTTACCATGAATCCCTACCATTCTCTGGCATGAGTTGAAGCAACATAAGGCCCTACCAGCTGTAGCCACCTGACCTTGTATTTGCCAGCAATCAGAACAATGAGCCAAAATAAGTCTCCTTATAAATTACCAGCCTCAAGTATTCTGATATAGCAACAGAAAACAAAGACAAATGGTACAAACTAAGAGATATTTTCTTGGGTAAGATTCCATAGAAGTCATACCCAAGACAAAGGATGGTGAATAATGAAGGGACTTCCAATGGGGAAAGCAGAACAGATCATTTCAGATGATGTCACACAAAACATGGCTCCAGCCTCATCCTATAGGGCTCTGAACAGGGAGTTTCATTTCAGACTTATCAGAACTCAAGGCCCAGGGGCTGGGCTGTGCTCCCATAGTCAGGCTTTGCTTGGGGACTCAGGAGGATGGAGGCCAGGGAGCAGAAATACTCAGATATGAGCTCTGAGCTGGGCAGAAAAGAGTAGCTTAGTACAGATAGGGATGTCAAAAGCAAGTGAAGCCAGCAGTAGGGACCTGGAACACTAAGGGAATCAGAAGGCTTGAGGCTGAATGCCAGCACTACCCACAACTGGAACTCGGCAGCTTAGTGCAGACCCTGGCCCCCAGGAGGAGTTTCGGTGAATCAAAAGACCAGTAAATAAGTTCTCCTCAAGCCTGCACTGAGATCACACTGGTCAGTAGAAGATGAACAAAGAGGAAGGCAAACCCACAATCTCAGATCCTGCTCTGAAGTCCCAGTCAAGGAACCCCAGTGGGGAAAGAGCTCCTGGCCTAGGATCCCAGAGTTGAGAGCTTTTCAGCAGGATACCAACCCGACTCCCCAGCAAATCTACCTGTGCCCCAAGAGAATTCCCCTTTCAGCTTTACTGGGATCTTTCTTTGGAAAAGCAGCTGGTGAGGACTGGGCAGGGTAGTACATGTTTGTAATCCCAGCAGCTTGGGAGAATGAGGCAGGAGAAACACAAGTTTGAGGTCAGCCTCAGCAATTTGGTGAGGCCCTAAGCAACTCAATAAGATCCTGTCTCCAAATTAAAAAAAAAAAAAATTAAAGGGCTCAGGATGTAGCTCAGTGGTAATGTGCCCCTGGGTTCAATCCCCAGTACCAAAAAGAGCAGCGGGGAGAAAGGATGAGAGCCTTGGCATCAAATTTGCATTGAATTAAACCATTTAATCTCTCTGAACTGTATTTCTCTAGTGAGCGAATAGGGATCCTGCATTTCAGGGACATGGCTGCAAATAAAAATGCATATGTGCAGGCCATAGAAGGATTATTACAATTCTTAGTCCTTATATTATTCCCTGGGCCTGA